ATTAATATGGTAACCAGCTTGCCCAAAGAGGTCCAAACTGAATAGATTGTTGACCCTTGGTTCTGAATAGTTCTGATTGACCCTTGGTTTGCCTAAGGCGTTTGAACACTAGTGTTTCCTTGTCTTACAGAATTTAGGCACTAAGGAAAATTCTTATGAAGTCCTCCTGAGGATCACACACAGGAGACTCTAGCAGAACAAAAACAAATGCAAAGAATCCAGCCTCCGGAATCGTCCACCTTGTGAGACAGAGTTCACCTCCCATTCTAGAAGCTGGAAGTGATAGCAACTCTCCTCTCACTGCTTCCCCCGTGCAGTGAAGGCTCAGGATGTAGGTTCTGTTAATCAGATTGCAGTGACCCCTGTTTGAATGGGAACCTGATGCACTGAAGAAGGAAGGATGCTACAGAATCCACTCTGACAAGTCTTAGGGGCAGAGGTGACAGGCCATCCAACTTCCGTAAGCTACAGTGGCTGCAGCTCCAAAGGCAGCCTTTGGCTTCTCCAGCCTGCATGATGCCCTGTCATCTATGCCCATTGCTGGTAGCAGTGGTGTCCTCATGGGACTAATGCTGTGGTGTGATGCTGAGTGACATCCAAGGATGCTTACCCTTTTAATCTGGAACTAAGGACCTCACTGGTATGTGACCAATTTTACAAAGTAGCTGCAAATAGCCAAAATACAAAAATATATATATATTCTTGAGGAATGAAGTAAATCAGGGCATACTTTTTACTCTAGAAGAAAATAGAAAAACTAAATAATGGTCTGGGGCTCTGAATCAGTGGAAAGATAAAAGAGTGTATTAATAGTGCAAAAGGGTTTTTCCCTCAGTAATTATAAAATAAGGGTGCTGCATAGGGGGTGCTCCTAGAAGTAATATTTTGTGTAGTCAGCCTTGATTGTGGTCTCACTTTAGGTCACTCGCATGGACCAGTGGACTATACTGTAAGAGTTAATTTGAAAACTTCACTGTTCTGGGTAGTAAGAATTGTGTCATCTCAAGAGATACTATGTTATAACAAGCATCCTAGGGAATGCAGCCGTTGCTTCCCAAGCATTCATCCTCTGAATCCCTTTTCAATGGAATCCAGGGCTTCCCAGCCTTGCAGTGGGCTGGCATTGATCTCACAGCAGCTCTAGGCATGGCCCTGCTCATGGAAGCTGGAATAGGGTTATGATTCAAAATGTCTCAAAGGGACAGAATGACAGTGTTTGATGGGGAAGAAAATTATTCTCTCTCGTGAATGCTACAAAAAGATGCTCCCGTCTTCCATCTGTTGTGAATAAGGAAGCAGTTAGCCCCAGCAGTTAGCCTGGAGCCAGTGGTACCATCCTGAAGAGTGACAGCCTTAGGGCTAGTTCACCACTGAGGGAGGCAGTAGAGCGACAGAAAGGAAGTGGATCCTGGTGCATCATTAAACTGCTGGACCAAGCTTTGCCTGTGTCCATTCAAGTCCCCCTGAAGCCTGTGGAGGTGGAGTTAACAGTGCCCAAGTTTTATTGAGGAAATGCCGTTGAAAGAGAAAGGTGGAAGAAGCCTATTGGCAGTGAGTATTTAGCCCTTCATGCAGGTCACTGTGGTGAAAGCAAAGGCGGAGGAAACAGGATTGGGCTGAAGGAGTCCAGATTGCGATGTAGATTTTGCAGTTTTGATCAATCCCACAGGGAGATTTAGAGCAAAGATGGCTCATAGGAGGAGTCCCACATTGAGAAGAAATGCCCAGGCCCTGGGACCCCTGCTGTGCTTATTGACCAGGGCTGTCCAGAGTGGGGTCCTAGCTCAATTCTGTGGAGGACCCCAAATGCCCAGTAGCTGGTAGCTATCTGTTACCTGTACTCCGCACAGCGGGACAGCTTACTCTTTTTGGAGGGAAGTTCCCAGACATGTATATACTTCCTCTATCTCGGGACTTCTTAAATTACTTGAACCACTAAATATCTTTCTTATTGTTGTTATTATTGTTATTATTATTGAAACGATTTGACCTCTGTTTTGTTACATGTGACCAAAAGAATTCCAACTAGTATGTGAAATAATATTTTTAGATTTTTATTGGCAGCTCAGTTCAACACACACTTAAGGAGCAAGGCACTTCATTTATATTATCTGTTATCTTCAAAAACAAGTAAATGAACAAACTGCATATATCAAAGAACTGACATGCAGCTGGTACATAATAAATAGTACCTACTATGATTGTTTTCCATTATAGTTACATTGCTCTTTAGTGTTTAATAATGGTAATTGAGTTTTTAGTGCCCAGAAGGTGCTTTTTTTTTGGCACAGAAAATATTTGCAATATATACAGTTCTTTATGTTTGTGTTATTACTTAATTTATAAAAGGTATACATTTTATAACCTACTTTATAAGCCTTTGCTTTTAATTCGCAAATTTTGTTACAGTATTTGCAAATCTAATATTGTGTTATAATTTTAAACAATTTACTTGTTATTTAATTAATACCAAATTAGCTTATAAATTTGATAGATTAAATCCCTTAAATGTTAATACTATTGAGAACCTTTATTACCTAGATTTTCTTAGACATTTCAAACTATATTTGCCAGTTTAATAAACCAATTCTTTCAAATATTTCAAACACCTAATAAAGCAAACTTACAAATCTAAATGAAAGATACTTGTAATCTTTATGAAACTTTTGTAAATGTAACAAATCAGATTTATAAATTTAATAAAACAGATTCTCTGATCCATTATAAACATCTTAAAACCAAAAAAGCATGCACAAAGCAGCACAATAACTATAAAATAGCTTACACAGAAAGATCAACCCTGTTTGAATTTATACCTTCCTGGACTTGCACACTCAATTATCCAATTCTAGGGATCACCATCAAAAGCCTGCTGAGTGTGACGGAGAAAGACAGATACTCTGTGATCTCACTTATATGTGGAATCTTAAAAAAAAAAAAAAAAAGGAAGCCAAAGTCATAGAAACATAGAAGCAGAGAGTAGAGTGGGGCTTACCAGGGTTGAGGTCGTGGGAGAAATGGGAAGATTTCTTCTATCCTTTGACCAATGCCTTCAGTTATAAGATGAATAGGTTCTGGGGATCTAATGTATAGCATGGTAACTATGGTTAATAGTACTGTATTATATACTTGAAAATTTGCTGAAAGAATAGATCTCAGGAATCACATACACAAAAGGTAACTATGTGCTGTGATGGGGGGGTGTTAATTAATATGATTGTGGTAATTGTTTCATAAACTATACATATTTCAAATCATCATGTTGCAAACTTTAAATATATAAAATTTTATAGATCAATATGTCAATAAAACTGGAAAAAAAAAGGGCTGGGAGAAAGAGCCTACTGTGCTTGCTTGGTAAAAAACTTAAGACCAAGAGAGGGTTATTGGCTCAGGTAAGGGTAAGGAATGTGGTCTGGGCACAGCACTCAGATACCGCTTCAAGGATGGTGCCGCCTGAGTCCCAGGGTTATGCCCTCTGAGCCCCTTCTTAAAATCTGATAAGCAGTTTTATTCTTGGCAGACTTCAAGCTTTCATCCAGGATAAAATTTAGTTCTATAATCCAAGGTATCATGAGTCTTTCAAGTTTCATCCTTACCCCAATTCAATTTTTTATTGTTTGATTTCCCTGGACAGAATTCTGCATTTCCTACCTAAATTTCACCTTATCTCTTTGTTGTCTGATTATACATAACAAATTCAGCACCCTCTTTATATTTTACTTTTACATTTGCCTCAGCTCTGTTCTAATGTAATTTATTGAAAAAAGAAAACCTTCTCTGCCTTAAGGAGTTATTTTTCTATTAGACACAGCTAAGACATAGACATAAATCACCTATAAAAATGGCAAAAATAGGGACTATTATTAAAGCATTATAATCAAATTTCTATAAGATCACTGTGGCTGACTGAATTCTAAGATGGTCCCCATGAACACTGCCCCTGATAACAATCCTATTATTATTATGTTATGTTACATGGCAAAAAAGGACTTTCCAGATGTAATTAAGGTCACTAATCAGTTGACCTTAAGAAGGGGAGTTTATCCAAATGGATCAACCTAATCACACAAGTCCTTTAAAAGCAGGGAATTTTCTCTGGTTGGTGGCAGAAGGGGAATTCAGGAGAGATTGGAAGCCTGAGAATGAATGTGAAGTAGACTGTTGTTGAGATGGATGGACTTTCAGAACAAGGACCCAAGAGTAGCCTCTGAGAGCTGAGAGGGTCCCTAAGTGACAGCAAACAAGGATGTGGAGGCCTCAGTCCTATAACCACATGGAACTGAACTCTGACAGCAATCTGAATGAATTTAGAATTGATTCTTCCCAAGAAGCTCCAAGTAAAAGCCCAGTAGGACAGACCACTTGATTTCAGCTTTGTGAGAACCTAAGCAGAGAACTCTGTTAAGCCTGGTCAGACTTCTGACCTACACAAGTGTGAGCTAATAAGTGGATGCTGCTTTGAGTCACTGTTTGTGATAACTTGTTATGCAGCAGTAGAAAACAAATATGATCACAGATAAAATTTTTACTTAGGCCCAAAGACTCAAGCTTTTAATTTACATATACCTTAATCATATAAATATATATGTAGGCATGTATATATACATGAGCATATATGAAGGCATCTTTAAAGTAGGAAGATCTCAGAATGTAAGATAAGATGTTTTATTGGGCTTTGCTGGTGGAACTAGTGAGTGAGATGGGAAGGCTGAGTGTTGGTTGAGTTGGAGAGAGTTTAAGTATATGGGTAAAAATAATAACTGGAGAAATTTAGAAGGCTCACAGAGTTTTCCTTTTATTGGCCTTGCCAGAAATGTCTATGCCATTTTCTTTTTTGGCACAAGGCATTACAATGAAATGTCTTCTAGGCTGGATAACCCACTTTGCCATTTATCAGTGAGAAACATTTTAACTTATGTTGTTTATCCAGTTGGCAAGTTTCCTAGCAAGACTCTGGAGAATGGGGTGCAGGGCAGGTAAACACTGGCAGGGAAGGACAGGGAGAGAGGGTCAAGACATAGGGGTGCTTTCTCGCAGGTGGAGTCAACAGTGAGCTGCCCTGGGACCATGCAGAAGGAGGGCGCACAGAGCACACGGAGAGGTAATGGCAAGAAGCATCACAGGGGGGTGAGTGTGTGTGGTTAGGGGCTCTTGTCCTCAGCTGGCCTGCATTGAGCAGAGCAAGCCCTGTCTGCTTTCATTTTCCCCAGGAAAGCTCCCATACAAAGAAATGGAAAGAAAGTTCAAAACAACCACTTTTATGTGGTGTATACTTTCTCCCCTTTCTCCTTTCTGGGAAGTACTAATGATCTAATCCTGCGTCCTTAACTCATAAAGTACTTTAACTTTTTCAAAGCACAGGCTGTACAAAGATCTTTCATTTCCTGACTGGACATGAAGATGAAGTTTATAGTCTTTTTATTGCTACTATTTTGACATTTTTATATACTTTTTCCCACATAGCATAGAACATGTTACCCCCTATAATTTCTTTTATATACTACTTGACTTAAAGATTGTTTCAAACCTCTTTGCCCCTAAATCATTTTTATTTTTAGGCAGTCTGAAGAGGGCTTGGTTTCATAAAAAAGGGTCAGAAGATTCAAGTCGAAGATATTGTTTTTCACTCCTTTCTTAGGTTTGCCTTCCTAAAATGATGCTAACAGTTTTTAAAGGAATGAGATAAAAGATATTTTGACTTATTATCTTATTTAAACCTAGTTGTTATTATATGTAAAAAATATTTAAGTAAATAAATAAATTTAAACGCTTATTAAGCCTTCTAGATTAGCTTAGCAGATAATATAACTTTGAGGTACTTTTATGGTATCTTGATTTTGCATTTAATTTTTTTAAAACTAAGATTTAGATTGGATAGTCTAAAAAATAATCTCATTACTGGTATTTTTAATAAGTAATAATAATAATTAATATCTGTGAAATGTCCTTAGTGAACCACAAGTTTTACAGAGTGTAAACCATAGCAAATTTCTATTCACAGTCTTATTCAAGATTGTATTATTCTACACCCTATCATTTTTAATATTTTTAATAACTCAATTTCACAAAATATTTTATTCCCAACTTTTTACTTTAGTCATCCACTAAGGCTTAATTTCATAATTTTTAAAATTAAAGATCCCATCAAGCTTTATTCTAACATTATTTTTGTTACAAAAACCCTAACTCAGAGTAATGATTATAGTCATACACTTTTCAGAACAGCAATTTAAGTCCCTCATTAAGTACCAGTTACTCAAGATACAGGTATCTCTATGTATAGAACTAACTTCTCAGGTTCATAGTTCCTGGTCACAGGGCTTCAAATTCAAAAAAGGAGAAAGGAATACAAACAACCTTTTGACTGCATATTATTTATGTTGCCAATGATTGTGCACACACTTTTCTTGTATACACCTATATTGACAGATACTATTAATGAGTTTTGTGAATGGAACAAGCCAAGTTCTTTAAGAAAATGGGAGGGAAAGGTTCAGATAAGGAGGAAAGAATAGAGTTATTGCTCTAAGACAGATAGTGGTGCTTGCCCTGGCTCTGACCCTTATTATAGAGACCATGGACATACTATTACTTAATATTTCTGGACTTCAGTTTCCTTATCTACAGTAATAGCAATAGTAATAGTAGTACTAAAACTAACTACTACTAATAATAGTAATATGCAACTTGATCAACAAATATTTTTTTCTTAATTCACTGTCTGTTATGTCCCTAAAAGAAAAATTAATACTAAACTTACTTTTAAAAAAATTCTTAGCCCAAAACATATGTATTAGTTTGCTAGGGCCACCATAACAAAATACTACCACAGACTGGGTGTCTTCAACACTAGAAATCTATTTTCTCACAGTTCCAGGGTTTGGAAGTCTGAGATCAGGGTGCCAGCAGGGTTGGTTTCTGGTGAGGGCTCCCTTCCTGGCTTAGCAATAGCGATCTTCTCACTGTGTTCTCACCTCACATGATGGAGAGAGAGCCTGGGAGCTCTGGCATCTTTTCTTATAAGGGCACTAATCCCATTGGATGAAGGCCCCACCCTCATGACCTCGTCTAGCTCTGATTATCCCCCAAAGACCCCATCTCCAAATACTATCCCACTAGGAATTAGGGCTTCAGCATAAAAATTTTGGAAGGGCACAAATATTCCATCCCTAAAAAGAGGTATTGATCCACATGTCAAATAAGGTGACAAATGAATGGAGGGGAAGGGACACATGGAAGGAGTCCAAAGGAAATTTTGATATGGCTTACCTACTAGCTATGGCACATTGATATTTTCTAAAACAGAAATTAAAACACAATTTCTGACCTATGGTATATATTTACATTAGTAATGACTTGGACTGCAAATAATAGAAAACCCACCTGATGATATCTTAATCAATGAAGACATTTAGTTATTCTACATATCAACATATGCAAGGTAGGCAGGTCCAGATTTGATCCCATGACTCTGTGACACCACTGGAGACTCAGGTTTTCTTCCATCCTTTCACTTCACTGTTCCCAGCAGAATCACTCAGGTTGCCTTTTCAAGGTCACGTGGTTGCCACCACAGTCGAGGAATACTGCTCCAACACCAGGATTTTAAGCAAGAAGGAATAGGCAGAAGCAAAAGTCTTTTGTATCGTTTACACCACTGGAGTAAAAGCTTTCCCAGGAGTCTCTTTTTGGCTCATTAGCTAGGTCTGGCCATGTGCTTACTTAACCCTAGCTGAAAAGGAATTTGGGAAAGCAAAGACCCTCATTTTGTCAGCCTCTAGTGAGGAAAATGGGTGATGGAAAATGGAGACCAAGAATAACTGTTGCATTAACCCAGATAAAAATGTTACCCACTATATGAGAATAGGACAGATGTTGTGGTCCACCACTGTAGACATGGGAGCTAATGTAGAGACTTATTGAAATGCCTAAAGTTTGGGGCATTATGGTGGCAGTGTTTACAGAAGTCATAACATTGCTGAGAGAATTGGTCAAGAGTATAAAATAAGGTTTTGTCTTTCAGGCCTGTTCCAAGAATAGTGACACGGTATCTTTGGTATGGTTAAGAACCTTTTGCAGAGCCAGGCATGGAGAGCATCCCTGGGAGCTTGTCTGGAGTCCTTTCTGACTTCCTTACCTTTACAGAGGAACAGACTTTCTTAGATCTTCATAAAAATTACCACTTCAAGAAATTCTGGAATCTTCTCTTTGAAACGTAACCCAGTGAAAAGCACAATGATAGTTATGTATTAAATTATATGGTATCATAAAAGATCTCAGGATCACATTTTTATTCATTTTCTGGCTGTCATTCTATAAGAAACATGGTTGTAGAAATTTCTTTCACTAAACATTGAGAGAAAAAAATCCTAATTTTCAGAGCTTTAATACTGGATGGTTATGATCAAAGAAATTTTAGGTCAGCTTCCTGAGAGTAATGCCACCTATGGAACAGAGTAAGTGTGTCAAGGAGGACAAAGAGATATTTGAGTTGTGGTTTTGTGTGCCCTGACATTTTGCTTCCTGTTGTTCATAATATCACACATGCAGTTTTTTAGCTCTTTGCATCTGTAAGTCCAGAAGCACTTGGCTAAACTTAGCTTAATAGCTGTGAAAGCCTCGAGTTGAGGGTCTATTTTCTTGAAGTGGAAGCCAAGGGTCCTCCTCCTTTCTAATCCTGAAGGAAGCTCACAGTTTCTAAGTGAAGCCTGCGTGACAGGACGGCATGATGCCCTGATATCCTGATCCACCACCTGTCTCTGCCCTGAATCTGTGCTCCTCTGGGATGCCTGGAAGTGACTGTTCATTACTGGACAAAATGTTCCTGGATGTGGGCCTTTGTGTACTTTTGCAGTCAAAACACAGTTACCTAATATCAGCACACAAAACAACACTGTGTGCTTGTCTCTCGCCTCTAGGAAAGCATTGTGCCAATATGAGATGATAAACTAGATGCAATATTAATGCATCTCTAGGATTAAGATTAGCTGACGCAGGCCTCCCAAACATCAGCAACAATCAGTCTCCTGGTGGGGAGAGGTGGTTTTGGATTTTCACTATGGCTCCTGAAACAAGAAGCCATAAATTCTCAGCCAAAAGAGCAAAAATATAACTATTTTGTAACCTTTGGAGCAATAGGCTAGGTGTTCCTCTACCATTTCTATTAGTCTATAAATAGTCACAGAACAGGATCTTCACTCATACCTCTAAGGCACTGGTTCTCAAATATTCACGTACATGAAAATATTGTCAGGCTTGTTAAAACACAGATTGCTGGGCCTGTTTCCACAGTTTTGCTTCAGGAGATCTAGGGTGGCCAATGCTGCTAGTCCAGAGACCATACTTCGAGGACTAATTCCTACAGAAATGAGAGGAAATTTTGATTCTCCTCATATCACACTTTTTTGGCTGAATCTCATTTACTAAAGCTTAATTAACAAGGTCTGAACTGCTTTTTCAGAGGACAGTGGGTCTAACGTATTCAAACACTTCATTGTGAGTCAGCACTGGGAAAGAGCGTGCATGGCAATGGCATTGGCTGTGCTAAAGCCTACAGGTCCCATTTGTGTCCCTTACGAAACCCAGCTAAGCCCAGGCAAAATGGCTTGATTCCAGAGAGGCTGCCGGGGGCGTGACCTGCACGTGTGCCTAGTTAGGTGACGACAGGTGTGCACACAAGTGCCCTCCTTGGCTCTAGGTGTTCAGTGGCGGCTCCCCCATATATCTTTGTTTGGGGTTTGCAGGAGAAGTGGCAGGCTCCTGGGGCATGCTGCTGTCTTCGAGCTCTCAGCAGTACAGCAAATGATACCTTCCCACAGGTCAGGCTGACTTGATTGAGGGGTTGCTTTTCCACAGGAAGCGCTGTGCCTCCTGGGGCACAGAAAAGGCTCTGCACACCTACCACTGTTTATTTTTTTATGAGGGGATTGATTTCTCTGCAAGCGTATGTGTGCCTGTGTGGTTAAGGGAAACCTCCAATACCTTAATTGCAGGTTTCTTAATAACACTGTGTGAAAACATCCATAGCTTACAAGCATTCATATAATCTGGGTCCTTAGAGCATCTCTTACAAAGCTTTTTGATTTTTAAGGGCTTCCCCCT